TGAAAGTTTGGCCTTTGAAAAGACCAAAATTGACAACCCCTGAAAGCACTAATACAGTGTATGTTAAGTAAATTGAATTTAAATAAACAATTTAAAATAACTGGTAAAACTTTAACTAGATTGACTAAAAACTGGGTAACGAAATGAGATGTATATATTCCTAGAAACATATCAAGAGTTATAAAAAAATAAAAAATCTGAACAGATCCATAGCTAATAAGACTGAATCAGGAATCAAAATTTCCCAACAAAGAAAAGCAAGCCCATATGTGATGTCTTCATTGCTGACTTATCCAAACATTTAAAGAAGAACACCAATTCTTTTCATACTCTTCAATAAAATCGAAAAACAAAGAACACTTCCAAAATTATTCCAATGCCAGTATTACTTTGATACCAAAGCCAAACAAAAGCACTACAAGAAAACTACAAATGCATATCCCTGGTAAATATTGATCTTAAAATCCTTAACAAGTTACTAACATAATTCAAAGCAAAATTAAAAAATTATATACCACAACCAAGTGCAATTTACTCATAGAATATCAGGTTCATTCAACATGTCAGTGTCAATCAATGTAAGAAACCACACTGAAAGAAATTTAGAGAAAAAACCCCACATACTCATCTCCACTGCTGCAAATAAAATCATCTGATAAATTTAATACCCTTTCATGATTAAAAAAAAAAACCTCAACATTTCAGGAACAGAAGATAATAAGGCTATATATGAAAAGTCCACATTCATATTCAGTGATGAAAACTCTAAAAACTTTTCCTCTAAAGATCAGGAGTAAGATAAGGGTGCCCATTCTCTCCACTTTATTCAGCATAGTCCTTAAAGTCTTAGAGCAATTAAAAAAAAGAATTAAAAAATTCAGATTAGAAAGAAAAAAGTAAAATTATGTCTATTGTAATGTACACCTTATGTAAAAAGCCCTACAAATTCCACACAAAAAAAAAACAAAGTGACCAAAATTGAAAGATAAATCAACATGCAAAAATCACTTTTATTTTCACACACTACAAATGAGTATCTCAAGAGAAACTTAAAAAAAAAAAAAAAAAAAAAAAAAAAAAAAAA